AGGCTGTTATCAGCAATAGAAATGCAATCCACTACATGTTTATCTGGAATCTTCAAACTTCAAATGATGAGAGGAAAAACTGTTCTATGTACCTGACGAATGAGAAATGGATCACGAGTTTCAAAGGCCATGAACTTGTTAAGGTTGAAAAGGATATTGAAAACACTTCCTGAAAGTTTACAGCCTTTCAGATCATGGAGTGTGATATAGCTATCATTCTGCAATAACAACGCTTCATGTCAACCACAGTAAAACTATATCTAACAGACTGCAGAGCATTCCATTCTTTTAAACAATTTTCTTGGGGCAATAAACCTCGAAGGATGCTTATTTCTAGGATGTTACATGCCAGCAACATAATCATCAATTAAGAAAGAGGGGTTACAATTTATTCCGAGAAGGACTACTTGACCTCGACCTTGTACTTTTAGGTTTTGTTTAAAAAAAATTCAGTTTACTCCAAAAAAGAAAAGATAACAGTAAAAGGCTCCAGTCAAAAAAGGCAAACCTCTGGTCCAATCATGTCAATTATCTGGCACAAAATATCCTCAAACAGAACAGGTTCTTGGGCCATGCATTCCATTCTATGCAATTGCTCCTCATAAAAGAATTGCAGTTCATTCCGTGTCAAAATTCCATTTCCATCCAAATCTATGCACTTGAACCTAACATGAACAATGTGGTGTCACAGCTACTACACAATTGATAGAATAACTAACTGTGTAAGGGCAAATCAAGTAGATCCCTCCATCCACCCCTTAGTATACTGAGGTTGCACATTCAAATACACTTAGTTGAAGCCTCAAATATCGATCTGTGTCCCATCCCAAAGTCAAATCTGATCAAAACCTAACAAGAAAAATGAATCTTCCGAACTGCCTCTGAAAGCAGGACATAGTAACGGTTTTATTTAAAAAGTTTTCAGGGAAAAAGTTATCAGTACTCTACATGAAGTATAGATAACAAAGTTTCCACCTAATAATTCTTGTATACAATTATTATGCAACTGATTTCACACATCCCATGATTAATTTAATCTTTATTTTTTTTTTTCAGAAATAAATCACGATTAGTTCCTGACTAGCCTAATTCTTGTTAATGCATGGCTGACTTTAAATGAATGTTGAATCAACGAGGCTGATTCAAAAATTAATACAACAATGTGGAAACCCATTTTTGCATATTCTGTAATCTTTCCATTTTTTCTGTCGAACTACCCAGCACATATGTTCCAATTGGACCTCTATCTTATATTGCTGCATTACCCATAATTACACTTGACCGCTACATCTTGAGAAGCAAGTTACTGACTGAAAAAAAGATAAGAGGTAAAGATATACCAGAACTCAAGGCTAGGCGGAGAAGATTTATCCTCCTCTGAGAGAATGAAGTTGACAAAATCTTGATATCCCATCTTTCCTTCAACCTTGCTAGTAAACTTTCTTGCGACCTGAGAAGCCAAAAATAAACTCATTAAATACATAATCGAGAATGCATGTCTGTGTCAGGGAGGGAGAGAGAGAGAAAGAGAGAGAGAGAGAGAGAGAGAGAGAGAGAGAGAGGATTAAGCTTTTATTGAAAGAATCTTTTTCTTAAAATTGGTAAACAAAAGCTTCATGACAAACCTGGGAAAATATTCTGTCAACAATCCGGTAGGTAAGTGCATGGTTACCATATCTGATCAGGTTCTCTTTATCGATCAGAAAATCATGATCTGTATCCAGCTCCCAAAACTTGCAGTATATCACATAAAAGTGCTCATAAGAGAAGTACCTGTAACAGATTATATAAGAAAGAAAAAGTTAGAACAAAAGTCACTGATATCACATATCATACATAAACATGCAGTAAGGAACACACTCTTGCAAACTATTCCAGATTGTGTGAAAGAAAACAGGCATAATGATCCCTAATTTTAATGGCCAGACCCTATAGTCTATAGTAACACAGACTAAGTCTGTATCCAGAATCTTTACCTCAAAACCTTGTTGATGTCCTCTTCTTCATCTGCATGTTGCATTGCATCAATCAAGTTTCCACGCTTTAACTCCCTGAGTGTGAGATGACCGTTCCCAGATCTATTTATGTAGTAAAATATTCTGTATATTACAGTTTCAGCTGGACCATTTGCAATAATATCTCAAGTTAACGTGTGCATCATGTGAAAGGAATTGCTTCAATCATAACCAGAGTAAAAATGCAACACCAAAACAGCATAAGTGAGAGGAAGGGAGAGAAGAAAGGAGGGGGAGAGAGGGGATTGGAAACTCTACAAACTTATGGTATTAAGAAAAGGCTGATTGTAGGTGGAGAACAAACCATATCTTTCCTGAAACTCATGCGTGCTCTGTAAGAACTCCAACCCTGGATGAGTTGCCAAAAGTTCTCGAAGGACAGGTTTAAAGTCATCCTGTTATGAAGCAGGAACAGGATTTAGATACTCGTTACTGCAGCAAATGTATTAATTATAATAATCAACATTGCATTTAATGGTATGATGATTTTGTAGAGATATCAGGTTGTACACAAATTTGTAATAAACATAAAAGACGGAAAGAAATAAAGCAAAACAAAAACCTGAGTGAGATATTTGAGATCTGGTTGCTTCAAGATCGAATAGATCTGAGTAGCTACATCCATCGTCAACATGTTTCCACCAACCCAATAATCAATAAATGTTTCCCTACAAACAAATTAGTAGGAAAAAGTAAGAGCATGCTTTGCAAAGGAAACAACCGAGCTTCAATAACAAGAGAATTAACAAGTCCAGAGGAAAGTAAAACTAAGGAACTTTCTTTGGTAAAGAAAGAACCAAAGAAACAAAATATGACTAGAGCAGGGGCCACCCAGAATTTATAGTCAGGTGAGGTCACAACATTAGTTAAACCAAGAGTTGGCTACAAGTCAGCTCAGAAAAAAAAAATAGCCTCCAGGAAAGCTACTTGACCCCTTCTCCGCAATCAACCCTTATAAAGGACATTGTTTATCCACTTCAGACAGAAAGATTCATGCACCTTAAAGTGGGGTAATAGAGTTGGTGAACAAGAATCGAGACATTTTAAAAGTAGAGGAAAATAGTTGTGGTTACATAAGATAAACCACAGCAAGGAAAGATATTGAAAGGGGTGGGGATAACAACTTCGAAACTACACCCTTTCACAAGCAATGACAAAAAGTGAATATTACCTTGTTACAAATCCAGTGCTGTTAGCATCAATCTTTCTGAAAAGAGATGTGGAGAAGAATGAGGGCAGCTTGCAGATATCCTTAGCAACTGATTTAAATTCTGATACACCAAGGAGACAGTTAAAAGCTAATTCTAGTTGTACAACACAAACTTATATCTTAAGTATATCTCACCATGAATCTGCAGTCCGTCTGAGTTGCCAGAGAAAAACTGATTGATTCTAAATAAGCATTGATCTTTTAGTTCATTTGGAGGCGGGCGACCATTTAGAAAGTAAAACTGCAAGTGGCACAAAATCCAAGTTACAAAAAATAACCTACCTTTCCCTCTAATTAAAGAAAACCATTACAGCTAGATAGTTCAAATGACAAATACAACGCATAACAAAATAAATAAAAAATAGTGCCACCTTATTGCCGAAAAGGATTAGGATTTGTCAAACCTGAGGTATCACTTCTTTAACTGGTTCGCTAACTACTTTCAGGGGAGAACCTAAATGAGAAGGACCAATCCTCTGTTTCATAATGCGAGGGGATCCAGATGAACTTCTTGGTGACAGTGGTGGTGCACTGCCTGCTGGAAACATAGAAGGCAAAGTACTTCCTGCAGTGGCATGTGGACTAGAAGAATTTCCCTGAACATTCAGGGGCCTACCTGCCTTTGCTTCAGTTAGCAGTTGTGTCACCTGCAACCATAAAGTAGGGAAAATGAAAAAACTGTCATGCATCAGAAAAGATAAAACAATATGTAGTATGTAAATCATAGGTATCCTAATTAAATAAACTTTAGCATTTCCAACAACTAATTACAAATTTGTAACTACTTTAAGGCATTAGGTAATTTCGAACATTGCTAACAATTTACAATTTTCATCCCTTTTTCCATACTGAAATGTGCCCTTTAATGCTTCATTAATCGCAATGTCATCGTTTCCGAACAAATTCAATACCATGGGCAGGAAAATCAATATATACCAAAATCAACTTAGCATCATTATTTCTTAGCTCTCATGCTGTTTTCACAGGCTAGAACAAACACATATACACATCCATGCAAATTATGTGCATCTGAAAACATACACAGATGAAAAAAACACAGAAATTTTTAATTCAACAGCTAAAAATAAAGCTCACCAAAATTCAAAAACCAAAAAATGCACATAAATCCTTCGAAACTCAAGAAGATGCATAACCAAAACAATGCGAAAACACCAAAAATTTCAAATTTTGAAGACAAAACATTTGGGTTTTCAAGTACCAGGCGATTAGTATCGGGAAGCGAAAGCCACTGCTCGAACAGCGACTCGACGTAGCTCGGATTAGATTTGAGGGCCAAAGGGGACACCTCATTGAGCTGCAACAGCTCGGCATCAAACGACGCCGCATCCACCACGATTTCCATAGTCATCGAGACGCATATACAGATCACGGAACCCTAGATTCGGAAATTCGAATCCCCCCAAAGCGCTTTCCTTTCTATTATAATATTCGTTTCAAATCAATGCCTTTTTGCCCGATTGGAAAAAAAAATAAAGGTGAGATTTGAAGTGGAAGAAACCTCAGATCCTTGAGGAATTGGAGTGTTTGGCGAGAGAGAAAACCGGAGAGAAAGTGAGGGAAAATGAGAGAAAATCCTTCGGCGATTGATGCTCAGAGGGGAGAGGGGAGAGACAGAGAGAATAGCCATAGCAGCTCCAAAATTTTATACAAGAAAAGAAAATCGAGGAAGGGTGTATACGTGTCAGTGTGACATTGGCCCGAAACTGAATCATCTACGGCCAGCATCATTACTTTTTCCTGCAACTTATTGCAACAACGAATAAAAAACTTCCCCGTAGTTCTTTTTTAATTAATTTACCATTTTGTTCCAACATCGTATAAAGCTGTCATTTTCCCTCGGGTTTTCTTTTCCCTTGGATTTTCTCGGGAAACAAACAGAAAATATGGAAGGAGAGGAGCTGCGTCGTTCCGAAGCGGACACGGTTGATCTTCTGAATCAATTCGAACGTATCTTGGAATCCGATCCCCAAATGTAAGTCATTCGTACTTGTATGTTAGTAGATAATCAGTGATTGCAGGTTTAGCTTCTCTGTTTTCAGTAAAGACGCAGACTTTGTGTTTGATGAAATGCCCGATGGAGTTTTGTATATATAGGTTTTATTCGTGCTTGGTTGGTGTACCTTCACAAAGTGTAATTTCGGTGTCGAATAGTACAGATATTTGGTCCCAAATGGATTGATCCATGCGTGAGTAAAAGTCACAGCTTGGTTTTACTTGGATTTGATATTTTTTGGAAAATGTCCATTCAGTTTTAGTTCAAATTCAAAATGTTGATTCAGTGTTCGTTCATTACTGTTACTGAATCTGGAATTTCGATAACTGTCCAAGTATGCCGTATTCTTATGCTGAAAGTTTTTGAATTGTGTGTGTGTGTGTGTGTGTGTGTGTGTGTGTGTGTAATTGTGAGTGCATTATGATTTTGTGTCGAGATGTTCTCTTTTTTTATTTTTTTTTATTTTGGAAGGGTTCTCAGTTATGTTTTCGGAATATGTAGTAATTCCATCGTCTTATATATTGTTCTTTCCTCTTGATTGAACCCAGAGATGAAGTGGGATTTCTTCACCTGTCCCAGTTTTCGAAGCTGAATAAAGAGGCAGGCCATTTCTCACCCTCATCTGATGACAGTACGGTGCTGCACTCAGCTGATGGCAACTCCGTTTTTTGGAATAGGGATCATAAGTTGGGGATTTCAACGCAAGTTCTTTTTCCGTTATATGAGGCTGCTAAGCATGCGTTTATGGCAGCAAGTAGACAATATAAGGCACTTAACAGCAAATCAGATGTATCTGGGGATGAGAAGTCTTTGTATGTGTCATTATCCTTGGATAATAGTTTTGAAGGTGACGTCATGAAGCATAGCGGGGCGCTTTTGTTGCTAAGTAGTGATTTAGGCACTGCATGGCATTCCAGGTTTTCCCCCTTTTCATTTTTGGTTCAGTAGTACTTTTTCCTCTCTCTTATACTTGTTCTAACATAATTGTTTTAAAATAGTAGCAGATATGCATGTGAAGCAACAGTCCTTAGTAGCGTCATGTTCTTTGGTTTCCTGATATGGAGATTCATCTATCTTCCTCTAGAGTTTGTGATGTGCAATTATTTACTATAATTATATATCAATAATTTTGGATCTTCTTGATCTTGTCTGGTTTCAATTTATGTCATCATGTCATGACACCAACTTGATCTAGTGTATGTGATGCAGGAAGCTCGTTGTGTCACAGAAGCATAAGCTCTCAGCATTTTTGGATAAACAACATGTGTGGTTAATTGTTTTGCCATCTTTGTTGTCATTTTTATTCTTTCTATGCATGTTTTTGGTTGCAATTTAACAACTGATTGTTGAAACTTTTGTCTTTGTATGTTGATGCTTCTTAATAGTGGTGGTGCCGTGCATATTCTTGGTTAAATTAATCAAGTACATCCGTAATTTGGAATAGTTCTTTTCTGAATTGGCAAGAATTTTTTCAGCCGAGGAGATTGTTGGATATTCTGCTAATTGGATCAACGGAAGTGATAGCCAGTGATTGGTGGTATCTTTTGGCAGGATTACAAGGACTTTGTTGCGGATGGGATTCAAACAGAACCTTTCAACTTGATTAACGAGGAGAGGGAAGAAGGTTATTTTAATGCAGATGGAAAGTATATTACATATGCCATTAAAAATGAAGTCAAGGTAAACATGTTTATCATTTTTGGGAATAAGCATGTTTATAATTCTTGGGTTGTTAATGCTAGAGTGTTTATCGGACAATTAGGTTCTTGGAGGTTACTGATGATTTAGAGCATAAAATATTTTTTATACTGAAGCTTTCATCTCCCTGATTAAATTCAGTTGAATTAAGTAATTCAGTCGATTACTTAATTCGGTAAAAGAGACAACCAAAGAACAACGTGGAGGTGGAGTCAAATACAAAAGCTTAGAATCAGAAACTAAGGTAATCTTTATGCATTTTGTTTGATTTGTTTGAATAGGATGATTTATAACTGTTTCAATATTATGCTTCTTTGTATGCAGATTACCATATGTATTTGAGAGCACGGCTGATGTAAGTTCTCTCTTTAAGCCTCTATCTCTCTGTGCATCGATCTGTTTTCTGTCAATTTTATTCTTCTGTATGCATTATGTTTAACCAAAGGTTCCTAATCTTTTATTTATGAGTGTGTGTTGCTTGGTCTCCAATGATTATTTATATTTTCCAAGAGTATAATGGGAGGAAAAATCCATTCAACCTCCACCAAATTGTAGGGAATCCAACTAAGATGCTTAAGTGATTTTTTTTTCAGCATGATAAATGTTTAAGGTTAAGGTTTGAAAATTGCAGATTTATAAACTATGCGTAGAGTTTCCGGGCAATATAGTCATTTCTTAATGGGCAATGAATAATTAAGGTTTGAAATCGAAAAGTAGATTGCAAATGTCGTTCGAGATGAAAAACGTACAGGAACGTTAGTTCTTAGCATATGTGAAACATATGTGAATTTTAATCACAAAGTGCAGTTGTACTCGAAACTGAGAGAGTGGCGTTTAATTGTTCTCCTATGGGATGTGGTTGATCTTACCCTTTATATGTTTAATATTATATATGCTTAGTTGAGTTATTTTTTCCTTTTGGGATTCAAGGCCATACACTATTGATCCCTCAAATTTTTTGCCATGAAGCAAAATGTGGTGACTCACGCAGACAGCTGACTCCTTTTCAATAGAAAGGAATAGCCAAACTAACCCAGCTGGGAAATAACGTTCACCAATCACTGTCTTCGCACTTTTACTTAAGTGAATACATTGTTGTTCATTCTGGCCGTCTTTCCAAGATCAAGCCCCTTGCTCAGTTGGATAAAGTTTGCATCCTTAGTTGTGCCGTATCGACAGTTTGGATTTTTGGGTGCCCCTCTCATGTAGCAAAACGAAAAATTATCTTCAGTTGCTGTTTATTGGCCTCGCTTTAAGTTTGGACAAACTTTGTTGATCCCATATTCTTTATTCTAATAAATTGCATTTATTTTCTCTTCCGTATTCATACTGATACATGCATGATCTTGGCTACTGAAGGTGCAAGATTTCTGGGGCGCCACTGAGTATTGGGGTGGAGTCGGTGGACTTGAATCCCAAGACATTTGACAAAGGTATATATAATTTTTTCCCATTTTGATTGGTTTAACAGGTAGTTTAGTGGGAAAACCTAGAAATAGATTTTTGCTTATAACATTCTTTCCTTGGTGATAACTAAGAAATTCGGAGTAAATGGATTTGTGAATTCGAATGACAATGACAAACCAGTGCACGAGATGAAAAATGATTCACTATTCTTATTATGCGTGGGACATGAAGCAACATAGATAGTGAAGTAGTAACTTTGACTTTATATTTTTATTTTCTTTCTACTTTTCATCTACCCAAGTCTACAATGCACGTGCGACTAAGGAAAAGACCGAGACATCAACCAGTGCAGAAGCTCCTGATAGGACTAATTGCAGACAGCTCTGAAACTACCTCTTCTATTCAAACGCGGAGGAGAGAAACTCCAACACGTTTTGATGCAAAGCAGTTCGTCTCAAATTGCCACTTCCTCAGTTTCTCAAATCTCAACAATCAATCTGCAGTGTCCCTCAAGCGGTTTCTCTCAAACTCTTACGATTTGCATTTTGTTTCTCTCCCTACACTCTCATCAGACTATCACTGCTCTCTCAGATGAACACTACAAATTTAAGCCTGATGCTGGTATGTGATTTCCACTCCATCTCATCTCTTTTTTCAAATTTTACGGTAATTTTCAAACCTTTTGTACAATCAGGTAAATCTCCATATAATTGAATAATAGCTCCTTCATCAGTTCATTGGCTTTGACGTTGGACTTAAGTAAATGGGAAATCATTAATTGGTATGGATCAAGATATATTTCTTTTGTGTTTTTGGATAATTTAAAGGGATGTGCAAATAGATGGGAACAGTAGAATTCATTTTGATTAAAAAAAAGAGAGAAAATAACCTTGCTGGATTATACTTCTTGGTTGTTTGATGAAGTTCGCACCAAGTTAAATAGATTCACAAATTTAGTTTTTTATATGGAATTCTTACTGATTCCAATTCGTATTATATAGCAAGAGAAAAATCCTGGGCAAAAGGCACCAATTCAACAGCATGGTGGCCAAGAAAAAGGATGGCCATTCCCAAACAAGCAATACCAGAGATTGAACAGGAAAAATCATAAACACAGCAGATGTGCGGTGTCAACCTTCTGATACGGACGTATGTACATTTTTGTATTTGAACGATGAGCAGTTGAAGACTGCCAATCTTTTGATACTATGATTATTTTGAGTACATGATACTATGAACTTATGTACATGAATTAAGCTTTTATAGCATCTCTATCATTTGAACAGTGAGCAATTGGACACTGCCAACTTTTGATAATATGAACACTGTCAACCTCTATCTTAGGTAAAGAAATCTAGCTTTAATAAATTATGTTTTCTGTATGTGCATATTATCAAAACATTTTAAACACCCGCAGCAACGCGCGAGCACTGTTGCTAGTTTTCATCTAAATCAAAATTTGGTCCAAACCAAATCAAATTTTGCAGTAGGATACTTTCAAACTAGCCCTCTTGAAGTTGTTTTATAAGTGGTGTAGTGTACTGGACTGTGTTCCTACAAACTGAAAAATCTCTCATCACCGTGTAGAATTTGGCATTAAAGTGGAATGAAAAGGGCACCTCGTAGAATTTAGGGTGTAGAACCACAAGTCAACTTACCGCGTAGAATTTGGCGTTATAGTGGAAGAAAAAAGAGCACCTCCCAAAATTTAGGAAGTAGAACCACTAGTCAACTTACCAATACTCAAGTCTACAGTCAACAATACTCAAGTCTACAGTCCACTACGACGGCGTACGCGGGTTTATTAATCAGAAGAAGAAAGTAGTTCCGGTAGAAAAAAATGAAAATCAATATAGCCAAACAACCTTCAATTTGCCTAACGAAATTGAAGGCAATGGATAACTGGTCCAGCTTAGGGAATTTGTTAATTATGGTGCTGGTGTTACTGTCCTTCCACTATGCTCATCGCAATTCCGTTCTTGTCTTTGATGTCCTCATCTTCCTCCTCTGCTCCCTCGGCCTCGTCTTTCGCCAAATGAATATCTCAGTCCCCGATAAAACCTCGTCCTCGCCTTCATCCTCATCGTCCTCCTCCTCCTCACCCTCCTCGTCCTCCTCCGCCTCCTCCACGTCCTCACCCTCAATCTCATCCTCATTGTCCTCCTCCGCCTCCCCGTCATTGTCCTCCTTCTCAAAAGGCTCGCTCTACGAAGTGTTCATAAGCTTCAGAGGCGAAGACACACGTAAAAACTTCACGGGCCACCTCCACGAAGCATTGACAAAGGCCGGAATCAACGCCTTTATGGACGACGAACTAAGCAGAGGAGAAGATCTAACTACCGAACTTGTGCGGGCAATCCAGGGTTCTAGGATCTCTATCATCGTCTTCTCAAGACGGTACTCCGACTCCAGCTGGTGTCTCGAGGAGCTGGTTAAGATCATGGAGTGTAGAAGAACGCTAGGGCAATTAGTTTTGCCGATATTCTATGATGTTGATCCTTCGCATGTCAGGAAACAGACTGGTTGTTTTGCACAATCGTTTCTGAAACATACAGATGAAAAAAAGGTGGAGAGGTGGAGAGCTGCTCTTACTGAAGCTTCGAATTTGTCTGGCTGGGATCTCAGAAACACTTTGGACGGGTACTTACTAATTTCTTTTCTTATGAATTAAGGCTTTAACGTACCTTTGCTTATTTATTTGGAATCATGCGATTTCTTAGACCTCTGTAATAAAATCATACAATAAAGCTTAAACTGTTAAGGCTACACTAATCACAGTCGGGAAACCGCCGGCGACTGGCTGCGGAGGGAATGGATGCTGGTTTTTTTGTTTGTGTTTCTTATTTAAATTTTAATTGATGTTTGCTAAGTTTAAACGCATCACCTCAAAAAAAGATGTCTTAATTAAAATCTCTATTCATGATAAATAATTTTGTGTATTAATTAGTTTAATTTCGTTGTATAACAATCTTCGTTTTGCTTCTCAACTTGACTAATGCCAGGCATGAAGCAAAGTTTATCAGGACGATTACCAATGACGTCACTACGAAGTTGAACAACAAATACTTCGACGTAGCGCCCTATCAAGTCGGAATAGATACTCGAGTGCTAGATATCAGTAATTATTTAGGCATCGGAGATTCATATGATGTTTGTGTGATTGGAATTTCGGGCATGGGTGGAATAGGTAAAACAACGATTGCTAAAGCCATTTATAATAGATTTTATGAAAGGTTTGAAGGTAAAAGTTTCCTTGAAAAAGTGAGGGAAAAGAAAGTAGAAAAATTGCAAAAACAACTTCTTTTCGATATCTTGCAGACCAAGACAAAGGTAAGCAGTGTTGCTGCAGGGACCGCCTTGGTAAGGGAAAGATTTCGAGGCTTAAAGGTACTTGTCATAGTTGATGACGTAGACGATGTGAAGCAGCTACGCGAATTAGCTGGAAATCGCCACTCTTTTGGCCCGGGGAGCAGAATCATCATCACAACTAGAAACGAACGTGTGCTAAAAGAATTTGCAGTTGATAAGATATATCGGGCGAAAGTAATGGACCAAGAAGAAGCTCTTGAGCTCCTAAGTTGGCATGCTTTCGGAAGTAGTAGTTGTCCTAGTCAATATCTTGTGCTTGAAAAAGAAGTTGTCAATTACTGTGGAGGATTGCCGCTGGCTCTTGAAGTTTTAGGATCTACTCTTTTCAAACGAAGTGTAGATGAATGGAAAAGTATATTGGATGAATTGAAAATGATTCCTCGTGGAGAAATTCAGGCACAACTGAAAATAAGCTATGACGGGCTAAATGATAATTACAAGAGGCGGATATTCCTCGATATAGCTTGTTTTTTTATCGGAATGGACAAGAATGATGTCGTACAAATCTTGGATGGTTGTGGCTTTTATGCAACAACAGGAATCGAGGTCCTCCTTGACCGGTGCCTTGTAACTATTAACAGAGAAAACAAGATTATGATGCATGATTTGCTTCGGGATATGGGCAGAGATATCGTGCATGCCGAAAGTCTCGATTTCCCTGGAGAACGAAGTAGATTGTGGCATCCTGAAGATGTAAATGATGTATTGATAGACAAATTTGTAAGTACCTTCCTAATCAAACTTTAAGTTAAACGTGTAAGCATATGTAAGTTAGTAATCTAACTTTTTTTGATGCAAAGCCTTCTCTTATTTGGAGTCTGTTTTTTCGGATAGCAGGGAACTGAAAAAATTGAAGGTCTGGCTTTGAATTTGCCGAGTCTTAAAGAGACTAGTTTCAGTACTGAGGCGTTTAGAAATATGAAGAGACTGAGATTGCTCCAACTAAACTACGTTCGGCTCGCTGGGGGATACCAATGTCTTTCCAAAAAATTAAGATGGTTATGCTGGCATGGATTCCCATTGGAGTTCATACCAATAGAACTGTGTCAACCAAACATAGTCGCTATCGACATGCAGTACAGCAGCCTCAGACAAGTTCTTTGTGAGTATTCTGGGGTAAGTACAATGCATAACCTGAACCAAATTAGGAATCATTTTTATGCTCTCTGTATCTTCTTTTTGGATTTAAATTTTTTATATCAATTTGATTTTTCTTAACAGTTGCTTGATAAGTTAAAGATTCTGAATCTCAGCCACTCCCACGATCTAACACAATCGCCAGACTTTTCGAAATTCCCAAATCTTGAGAAATTGATACTCAAAGACTGTAAGAGGTTGGCTAAAGTTCACAAGTCCATCGGAGATCTCAAGAGTCTTGTGTTGGTGAATTTGAAAGACTGTGAAACGCTTAAGGCTCTTCCGAGGAGTTTCTACAAGTTGAAATCTGTCAAAACTCTTGTTCTCGATGGTTGTTTAAGATTCCAAACCTTGTCTGAGCACTTGGGAGAAATGGCATCATTGGTCACTCTTCATGCAGATGGAACGGCCATAAAAAAAGTACCACCTTCCATCGTACGACTAGAGAAGCTCGAGCACTTATCTTTGAGTAAATTGAAGTGTTCTTTGCAGCTACCTTCCTTAGGAGGTTTACGCTCTTTGACAAGCTTAATTTTGGCGGACAGTAATATAGAGGAAGTGCATAATGATATTGGGAGTAGTCTACCTTGTTTAGTGGAGTTAAGTCTAGTTGACAATAATTTTGGGAGCCTTCCAAGCCTCAGTGGCCTCTCCAAGCTTCTTATACTATCCTTGAATGGTTGCAGAAACCTTGTCGAGATTACAGATTTACCAAAAAGTTTGGGTTTCCTACACATGGAGGATTGCTCTGCATTCGAAAGAATGCCAGATTTTTCAGGCATGTCGACAACAGTGATTCTCTTTTCCCCGAAACTCATTAAGTTTCCAGGCTTGGATAGTGCGTTAAACTCGGGACTCACACTTTGTATGACAACACACAACAATGTCACAGATTTCCTTCTTAAGGATAGCACGCTACAGGTACTCTCTCTCTTCCACACCACCCCCCTCCCCTCCCTCCCTCGCAAATATGTGTGTTATGTTTGTATTACTCACACAAATCTTGTTCAACATTGTATAGGGATGGACAGGAGCTGGAGCCATAATTCTTGTAGGAAGACAAATTCCCACTTGGTTCAATCATGTCAACGAGGGTACCCAAGTCTCTTTTGAAGTGCCTACGGAAATTGGTTGTAATGCTAAAGCATTAGCTGTGTGCCTGGCTTTTGTTCCTCGTGATTACATCAGCTCGTATTATATTTATGTTATTAATCACACCAAGGGTACTAGTTTTTATGTCAAAACAGGACATATTTTTCCCTTTGAAGAACTCATTTGGCTGGGAAATTTATCGTTGTCGGAAATTGAGTTCAATTTGGAAGGAAGCGATTTGGTCCACGTTATTGCACATGGTCCGGTGAAGAAAATAGGGGTACGTTTAGTATGCGACAAACTTATGACTTTTGAAGGTTCGTTATTTGATTACCATTATATCCCTTACGAACGGGCCTTAGAAAAAATTTCTACCGAAGTTGATGATTTTGATGGGGATTATGAAGATGATGATTTTGATGAGGATGATGACAACACGATGAGGATTTTGATGGGGATGATCACGAGGACTTTGATGTGGAGTTTAATGAGGAGGAGGAGGTGGAACAAGAAGATGATGATGAGCAACAAGGTGCAGATGGCATTGAAAAGGATGATGATGAGGAAACTTTCTGGTTTAATCAGCTAGTTTGCAGATAGAGTCTGTATTTTTTTGCATGCCTTGATCTGTTTTTAATATGTTCTCTCTTTTTGAACTTTCTTGTTTCTGTGGTGCTTTAATTTAACTTATTAATGCATTTAAGGTTTTTAATATGTTCATAGAATCCCTCTTCTACTCATATAGTCGCCAACTGTAAGCATCAGCGCATGCCTCCTCCCATCATTCTCTGGGGCACCCAACTATTGCTTCTATTCCCTGCTTTCTTGCCAGGAACCCTTTCTGAGCACCCTGTGGCTTTCCAAACTTCTGAAGAGAAGCCAATGATATTGGCAGCTCAAAATTATGCTTTAGATTTGACTCTGTTCCAAAATCAACAGGGGCACTTGTATCAATCAACTTCCCCGCACCAGCCGCAGCTTCCAAAGCTGCTACAGTTGCCGCCATGCCTGCCCGTACTACTCCCACCGCTGATAGTCCCAGATTTTGACCTCCCAATTCCAACCTTTACAACGCAAACCACAATTAACTCTTCCTCGAAAGGCTCAATAAACCACTTTGCAAGTTCCGACCTTCGAATGGTAATCTCCTTTATATCATCAAAAGTTAGTCCCTCTGACCTTTGATCATCACTGTCAATCATCACATCATCCCCTGATGATCCATCATCTTCACTACGAGAAGCATCTCTCAACTTGCGGTGATTCATCATCTTCACTACGAGAAGCATCTCTCAACATTTGTGACTCATAATTACTTACAAATGTATGAGCCAAATACAACATAAACTCTTTTCATCTTTCTTCTGTGCTCTTTCAGACAGAATTAGATCTCTTTGAAGTTCAGACATCTCTACGAGCTTCCCCCTATCGTCTTCATCCTTGTAAACCGGTGCACGAGATGAAAAATGATTCACTATTCTTATTATGCATGGGACATGAATCAACATAGATAGTTAAGTAGTAACTTTGACTTTATATTTTTATTTTCTTTCTATTTTTCATCTACCCAAGTCTACAATGCACATGCGACTAAGGAAAAGACCGAGACATCAACCAGTGCAGAAGCTCCTGATAGGACTAATTGCAGACAGCTCTGAGACTACCTCTTCTATTTAAACGTAGAAACTCCACCACGTTTGATGCATAGCAGTTCGTCTCAAATTGTAGCTTCCTCAGTTTCTCAAATCTCAACGATCAATCTGCAGTGTCCCTCAAGCGGTTTCTCTCAAACTCTTACGATTTGCATTTTGTTTCTCTCCCTACACTCTCATCAGCACTATCACTGCTCTCTCAGATGAGCACTGCATTTTGTTTCTCAACAGGTCCTGCAAAGCAGGCCAGTACAATGAAGCACTGTACTTTCTTGAGCTAATGGTTAACAAGGGGTACAGGCCTGATGTGCTTCTGTGCACAAAGCTCATCAAAGGGTTCTTCAATTCGAGGAACGTCGAAAAGGCCGTTCGGGTTATGCAGATTTTGGAGAAGTATGGTGAGCCTGATTTGTTTCCGTACAATGCGTTGATCAGCGGGTTCTGTAAGGCGAATCGGATTGATTCAGCAAACAAGCTACTTGATAGGATGAGGAGTCGGGGATTTTCACCTGATGTTGTTACTTACAATATCATGATTGGGAGTCTTTGTGGCAGGGGGAAGCTAGGATTAGCTTTGAAGTTTTTGGATCAGTTGGTGAAGGATAATTGCAGGCCGACTGTGATTACTTACATGATTTTGATCGAAGCAATGATTCTTGAAGGAGGAATTGATGAAGCCGTGAAGCTTTTGGATGACATGTTATCTAGAGGGCTTAAACCTGACATGAATACTTACAATGCAGTTGTTAGGGGAATGTGCAGAGAAGGGATGCTGGATAGGGTGTTCGACTTAGTTAGGAGCTTAGATTCCAAGGGCTGTTCGCCTAATGTAGTCTCGTACAACATTTTGTTACGAGCGCTTTTGAATAGGGGTAAATAGGAGGAAGGGGAGAAGCTAGTGAGCAATATGCGTTCGAGAGGTTGTGAACTGAATGTGGTGACTTACAGCATTTTGATTAGCACACTATGTCGCGATGGGAAAGTTGAGGATGCTGTGAATGTGTTGAAGATCATGAAGGACAAGGGATTGACGCCGGATGTGTATAGTTATGATCCACTGGTTTCTGCTTTCTGCAAATAAGGGAGATTGGATTTGGCGATCGAGTTTTTGGATGACATGATATCGGATGGCTGCTTGCCAGATATTGTGAACTACAATACAATCTTGGCTGCTTTGTGTAAGAGTGGAAATGTTGATCAGGCTTTGGAAATCTTCGGGAACCTCGGTGAAGTGGGATGTCCTCCGAATGTGAGCTCTTACAACACAATGTTCAGTGCACTGTGGAATTGCGGAGACAGAGTGAGAGCGCTTCAAATGGTGTCGGAGATGGTAAGCAAAGGAATTGACCCCGATGAGATTACTTACAATTCGTTTATATCATGTTTGTGCAGAGACAGGATGGTGAATGAGGCTATAGGGTTGTTGGTAGACATGGAAAGTGGTGGCTTTCAACCAACAGTTATCAGTTACAGCATTGTTCTTCTCGGGCTGTGCAAAACGCAAAAGATTGTCGATGCCATTGAAGTGCTTGCGGCAATGGTTGAAAAGAGGTGCCGGCCTAATGAAACTACCTACACTTTGTTGATTGAAGGAATTGGATTCGCAGGATGGCGAGCTGAAGCGATGGAGCTTGCCAACTCTGTTTTTAGTTTAAGGGCGATTTCCGAAGATTCGTTCAGGCGTTTGAATAGAACCTTTCCCATGCTTGATTTTTACAAATAGCTTACTCTATCTGAGATTAAGAACTAGCTTTTGCTTTGTAGCTACAAAGAGGGGTTAGAGTATCGACAAATTCATGTTTTTCGTTAACCTAGAGAAAGGCAGACATTCAGCGGCAGAACTTCCGGCAAGAAAAAGAAAGAGAAGATACCAAGAACTAAATGGAAATGGCTAATTTGAAGATGAATTTCTTTTGTATAGAATATATCGTTTGTATCAAGGAAAAAAAGCAGAAAAGATTTCTGGCAAAACGTTCTATCTTACCGAAGTTGTAGATTCTATACAACCTCAACTAAATTAAACAGGGATGAGCACGGTTTGGTTTAGCCTGCTTCGTTAATATAATTGGTTTTTTACGGGCGAAAGAATGAACCAAAAGAGGACGAGAGAAAGTGGTGAACATAAAACGAGTAGAGGAAAGAGACATTATCCGTTCGACCATTGTGACATGTTAACTCACTTAGAATATGAAAGTAAGGACATGAAATTGAATCAAGAAGCGTTTAGTTAACACGATTCTTGATTTTCAATTACTGAATGACAAATTTAAGCTGAACTTGAAACATAAAGAATCCAACCACTTGTATTAGGTATTTATTGTACCGAACCATGTCCCAAACACGCTGAACCACATTTCAATATACTTGATCGAACCTATTTAATTAATATTTAAAATGATCCTCCACTAATCCCCGTATAACACACGAAAAAAATGCACGTCACATACTATCATTCGTTCAAATTATCATCATTAAGCTTCACTGCCCCAATTTCCATATTCACGACGTCGCCCACGAGTCTCTAGCTCACTTGTGCAATATACTCTTCTTCGAAGGCTTTGGTTTCTTGTGAGTGTGGCTCTGCCACAAATGAAATAAAGCAGGAACACTTGGTAAGTACAAATTACCTTTTGGAAAGCCATAAATTTGAAACTACGCTAAACAAATGGAAATGGTACCTTTTGTCTTTCTAGTGCGTCATAGTCTATCCTCTCCCTCCAGTTACTCTTGCGTAGTTTGATTGGCTGATTGCCCACATACTTACCTGGAATTATTGCAGATTAATTATATACAACCATTATCATACAAGTAAAAACATATTAACAACCTCTATGATTCTTAGTACTATCTACGAAAAGTAGAATCACCATATGAGTTAATATTTTACACACCATTCATTTCCTTTAGTGCTCCGGCCAGGTCAGATGGGTCCAGTCCTCTTATCTCTGACAACCTAGAGATGGTGATAAAGCAGACAGATATAAGTTTTAAGATTTCAATAACAGCCAAAATTCACAAATTCTATGAGAAGTAGATGAATCAAAACGTAGTGAAAAACAGCAAAATCCACGAAAGGTTATAAGAATGCAGGCACAGTCAAAATAAGGAAAACAATTGGATTCTGAGACAACCAACCAAGTATCAAACAAAAATGAGAACATCAAGCAAAGCATCTACATACTAAAGGAAAAAACAAAGTACCCTGTACAGTTTTTATGGTGAGGGAAAATGAGAGGCGATTGATGCTCAGAGGAGAGAGAGAGAGAGAAAAAAGCCATAGCAGCTCCAAAATTTTATACAAGAAAAGAAAATCGAATAAGGGTGTATACGTGTCAGAGCGACATTGGCCCGAAACTGAATCATCTACGGCCAGCATCATTACTTTTTCCTGCAACTTATTGCAGCAACGAATAAAAACTTCCCCGTAGTTCTTTTTTTAATTAATTTACCATTTTGTTCCAACATCGTATGAAGCTGTCATTTTCCCTCGGGTTTTCTTTTCCCTTGGATTTTCTCGGGAAACAAACAGAAAATATGGAAGGAGAGGAGCTGCGTCGTTCCGAAGCAGACACGGTTGATCTTCTGAATCAATTCGAACGTATCTTGGAATCCGATCCCCAAATGTAAGTCATTCGTACTTGTATTTTAGTAGATAATCAGTGATTGCAGGTTTAGCTTCTCTGTTTTCAGTAAAGACGCAGACTTTGTTTTTGATGAAATGCCCCATAGAGTTTTGTATATATAGGTTTTATTCGTGCTTGGTTGGTGTACCTTCACAAAGTGTAATTTCGGTGTCGAAAAGTACAGATATTTGATCCCAAATGGGTTGATCCATGCGTATGTAAAAGTAACAGCTTGGTTTTACTTGGATTTGATATTTTTTTGGAAAATGTCCATTCAGTTTTAGTTCAAATTCAAAATGTTGATTCAGTGTTCGTTCATTACTGTTACTGAATCTGGAATTTCGATAACTGTCCAAATATGCCGTATTCTTATGCTGAAAGTTTTTGAATTGTGTGTGTGTGTGTGTGTAATTGTGGGTGCATTATGATTTTGTGTCGAGGTGTTCTCTTTTTTTTTTTTTTTTTTTATTTTGGAAGGGTTCTCAGTTATGTTTTCGGAATATGTAGTAATGCCATCGTCTTATATATTGTTCTTTCCTCTTGATTGAACCCAGAGATGAAGTGTGCTGCACTCAGCTGACTCCTTTTCAATAGAAAGGAATAGCCAAACTAACCCAGCTGGAAAATAACGTTCACCAATCACTGTCTTCGCACTTTTACTTAAGTGAATACATTGTTGTTCATTCTGGCCGTCTTTCCAAGATCAAGCCCCTTGCTCAGTTGGATAAAATTTGCATCCTTAGTTGTGCCGTATCGACAGGTTTGGATTTTTGGGTGCCCCTCTCATGTAGCAAAACGAAAAATTAACTTCAGTTGCTGTTTATTGGCCTCGCTGTAAGTTTGGACAAACTTTGTTGATCCCATATTCTTTATTCTAATAAATTGCATTTATTTTCACTTCCGTATTCATACTGATACATGCATGATCTTGGCTACTGAAGGTGCAAGATTTCTGGGGTGCCACTGAGTATTGGGGTGGAGTCGGTGGACTTGAATCCCAAGACATTTGACAAAGGTATATATAATTTTTTCCCATTTTGATTGGTTTAACAGGTAGTTTAGTGGGAAAACCTAGAAATAGATTTTTGCTTATAACATTCTTTTCCTGGTGATAACTAAGAAATTCGGAGTAAATGGATTTGTGAATTCGAATGACAATGACAAACCAGTGCACGAGATGAAAAATGATTCACTATTCTTATTATGCGTGGGACATGAAGCAACATAGATAGTGAAGTAGTAACTTTGACTTTATATTTTTATTTTCTTTCTACTTTTCATCTACCCAAGTCTACAATGCACGTGCGACTAAGGAAAAGACCGAGACATCAACCAGTGCAGAAGCTCCTGATAGGACTAATTGCAGACAGCTCTGAAACTACCTCTTCTATTCAAACGCGGAGGAGAGAAACTCCAACACGTTTTGATGCAAAGCAGTTCGTCTCAAATTGCTACTTCCTCAGTTTCTCAAATCTCAACGATCAATCTGCAGTGTCCCTCATGTGGTTTCTCTCAAACTCTTACGATTTGCATTTTGTTTCTCTCCCTACACTCTCATCAGACTATCACTGCTCTCTCAGATGAACACTACAAATTTAAGCCTGATGCTGGTATGTGATTTCCACTCCATCTCATCTCTTTTTTCAAATTTTACGGTAATTTTCAAACCTTTTGTACAATCAGGTAAATCTCCATATAATTGAATAATAGCTCCTTCATCAGTTCATTGGCTTTGATGTTTGACTTAAGTAAATGGGAAATCATTAATTGGTATGGATCAAGATATATTTCTTTTGTGTTTTTGGATAATTTAAAGGGATGTGCAAATAGATGGGAACAGTAGAATTCATTTTGATTAAAAAAAAAAAGAGAAAATAACCTTGCTGGATTATACTTCTTGGTTGTTTGATGAAGTTCGCACTAAGTTAAATAGATTGACAAATTTAGTTTTTTATATGGAATTCTTACTGAATCCAATTCGTATTATATAGCAAGAGAAAAATCCTGGGGAAAAGGCACCAATTCAACAGCATGGTGGCCAAGAAAAAGGATGGCCATTCCCAAACAAGCAAGACCAGAGATTGAACAGGAAAAATCATAAACACAGCAGATGTGCGGTGCTAACCTTCTGATACGGACATATGTACATTTTTGTATTTGAACGATGAGCAGTTGAAGACTGCCAATCTTTTGATACTATGGTTATTTTGAGTACATGATACTATGAACTTATGTACATGAATTAATCTTTTATAGCATCTCTATCTTTTGAACAGTGAGCAATTGGACACTGCCAACTTTTGATAATATGAACACTGTCAACCTCTATCTTAGGTATAGAAATCTAGCTTTAATAAATTATGTTTTCTGTATGTACATATTATCAAAACATTTTAAACACCCACAGCAACGCGCAAGCACTGTTGCTAGTTTTCATCTAAATCAAAATTTGGTCCAAACCAAATCAAATTTTGCAGTAGTATACTTTCAAGCTAGCCCTCTTGAAGTTGTTTTATAAGTGGTGTAGTGTACTGGACTGTGTTCCAATAAACTGAAAAATCTCTCATCACCGCGTAGAATTTGGCGTTAAAGTGGAATGAAAAGGGCGCCTCGTAGAATTTAGGGTGTAGAACCACAAGTCAACTTACCGCGTAGAATTTGGCTTTATAGTGGAAAAAAAAAAGAGCACCTCCCAAAATTTAGGAAGTAGAACCACAAGTCAACTTACCAATACTCAAGTCTACAGTCAACAATACTGAAGTCTACAGTCAACTACGACGGCGTAGGCGAGTTTATTAATCAACTTACCGCGTAGAATTTGGCTTTATAGTGGAAAAAAAAGAGCACCTCCCAAAATTTAGGAAGTAGAACCACAAGTCAACTAACCAATACTCAAGTCTACAGTCAACAATACTGAAGTCTATAGTCAACTACGACGGCGTAGGCGAGTTTATTAATCATAAGAAGAAAGTAGTTCTGGTAGAAAAAAATGAAAATCAATATAGCCAAACAACCTTCAATTTGCCTAACGAAATTGAAGGCAATGGATAACTGGTCGAGCTTAGAGAATTTGTTAATTATGGTGCTGGTGTTACTATCCTTCCACTATGCTCATCGCAATTCTGGTCTTGCCTTTGATGTCCTCATCTTCCTCCTCTGCTCCCTCGGCCTCGTCTTTCGCCAAATGAATATCTCAGTCCCCGATAAAACCTCGTCCTTGCCCTCATCCTCATCGTCCTCCTCCGCCTCCTCCACCTCCTCACCCTCAATCTCATCCTCATCGTCCTCATCCGCCTCCCCATCCTTGTCCTCCTTCTCAAAAGGCTCGCTCTACGAAGTGTTCATAAGCTTCAGAGGCGAAGACACACGTAAAAATTTCACGGGCCACCTCCACGAAGCATTGACAAAGGCCGGAATCAACACCTTTATTGACGACGAACTAAGAAGAGGAGAAGATATAACTACCGAACTTGTGCGGGCAATCCAGGGTTCTAGGATCTCTATCATCGTCTTCTCAAGACGGTACTCCGACTCTAGCTGGTGTCTCGAGGAGCTGGTTAAGATCATGGAGTGTAGAAGAACGCTAGGGCAATTAGTTTTGCCAATAATCTATGACGTTGATCCTTCGCATGTCAGGAAACAGGCTGGTAGTTTTGCACAATCGTTTCTGAAACATACAGATGAAAAAAAGGTCGAGAGGTGGAGAGTTGCTCTTACTGAAGCTTCGAATTTGTCTGGCTGGGATCTCAGAAAAACTTTGGACGGGTACTTACTAATTTCTTTTCTTATGAATTAAGGCTTTAACGTACCTTTGCTTATTTATTTGGAATCATGCGATTTCTTAGACCTCTGTAATAAAATCATACAATAAAGCTTAAACTGTTAAGGCTACACTAATCATAGTTGGGAAGCCGCCAGCGACTGGCTGCGGAGGGAAGGGATGCTGGTTTTTTTTTGTTTGTGTTTCTTATTTAAATTTTAATTGATGTTTGCTAAGTTTAAACACATCACCTCAAAAAAAGATGTCTTAATTAAAATCTCTATTCATGATAAATAATTTTGTGTATTAATTAGTTCAATTTCGTCATATAACAATCTTCGTTTTGCTTCTCAACTTGACTAATGCCAGACATGAAGCAAAGTTTATCAGGATGATTACCAATGACGTCACTACGAAGTTGAACAACAAATACTTCGACGTAGCGCCCTATCAAGTCGGAATAAATACTCGAGTGCTAGATATCAGTAATTATTTAGGCATCGGAGATTCATATGATGTTCGTGTGATTGGAATTTCGGGCATGGGTGGAATAGGTAAAACAACGATTGCTAAAGCCATTTATAACAGATTTTATGAAAGGTTTGAAGGTAAAAGTTTCCTTGAAAAAGTGAGGGAAAAGAAACTAGAAAAATTGCAAAAACAACTTCTTTTCGATATCTTACAAACCAAGACAAAGGTAAGCAGTGTTGCTGCAGGGACCGCCTTGGTAAGGGAAAGATTTCGATGCTTAAAGGTACTTGTCATAGTTGATGATGTAGACGATGTGAAGCAGCTAAGCGAATTAGCTGGAAATTACCACTCTTTTGGCCCGGGGAGTAGAATCATCATCACAACTAGAAACGAACGTGTGCTAAAAGAATTTGCAGTTGATAAGATATATCGGGTGAAA